CTTATCTAATAAAAGTATTAGTTAAAATACTTGGTTTGTAGTCTTCCGTCTTAAAACAGTCAACTGCTAGCTGCCCAGTTGTTCAAATGGTAGATACATGGATGCTAGGGATAGATTGCTTTTGCAGTGCATAAATGTTTACAAAACCTGTTGGGCCATCCATGGGATTGAGGTTTGTCCACTGGATGTCATGATCCCCCCTTCAAACAACCAGGACCAGGCATCATATTGCTGACTTTTTTTCCGGTTAATAGGATGTCATCTCAAAACTTGAGGAATATAAAACTGATACCATCCCAAAGGCCAAAAAAGAAGCAGAAAAATATGACAACTACAGGTAAGGTTACAGGTTCTCCATTTGTTGAGCTGAACCCTTAGACAACTCAGAAAAATTAGAGAAAGATATTGAACAGTTGGTTAAATTTTAAATGTTTTGCAGTAAAAACACAATTTTGTTAACTGCATCAGTCATGTTTTGATGGACAGTCTAATTGTTTAGATGAGTGTAATATATGATTGAAAACAAGTTGTAATAAATGCTAGATTGCTCTATGTGTGAGTGTTGCAGTAGTAAACCCCCTCATTGCATATCAAAGGCTGTGTAATGAGGGGGAGTATAATTAGTAAGTAACATTAACCAATCAGATTACTTTATCTCCAGTCCCGCAAGGGCTGATACATGTATCTTTCTGTTACTGGACTGGGCATTATTGCAAGTGACCTTGAATGACTTGCCGAAAGTCTCCTAAATAAGAATTGTGGACATCATAGTTCTTTTTGGAGAGAGCATTCTGACTCTTCAGAATGGATGCTGAGATGCTGAATATTCACTTCAAACTGAAATAATTTGGACTGGAATGGGAGGTGAATCAGCTGATTGGTAGAACTTAAAACCCTCATGGAAGCAATTTTCATTTACAAATTAATTTATGTTTATTAATTATCTCATGCATGATGTGGGACTGATTTGGAATTAATGTTTTTCAGATGGATGGCTGGTGTTGGGTTGACCTGCATTCTTCTCCTTGTTGTGGTGTTGATGGCTCTTGGCTTGATGTGTGGTGTCTGTGGTCACGACAAGGAGGCTTCACCAACCACTCGGGGTACAGTGTCCAACTTGGGAGGTCTTTCTCTTATGGCGTAAGAAACATTTGATTGATTATTCATGTTTTAACATACATGCAGTGCTCCAGAACCTGTATGATTTTTATCTTTTTTAAAAAATCTACTACTAATTTCCTTTTTTAAATTTCAAAGAGTATCCTATTCTCTGAAAATTGTTTGCAAATGTGCATGAAATCTGACCATGGACATTGCCATTTGAAAACAGCCTAGGATTGCAGCCCTATAGGTATAGTGTCCCAGAAATCAAGTCTTCTGGGGCAACCAAAACATGCCAAAATGGTGTCGCTTTGGCCAGGGGGCTTTCTGCCTTTAAGAAGTCCTCTCTGGTTTGAATGGATTTAGTCTGAGGGCAGCCATGCTTTGTTCTTTGTACCAGATAAGCAGAAAGGTTGCTTGGCAATATTCAAAATGGCAGCACTTGACATCAGATTTTAAACAAGTTCAGAGACATTTTTAAGAGCTTAGGTTACTCTTTAGATTCTCCTAACTATTTCTTATGATGTAGTAAAAAGTTGCCAAGTATTTTTTGGTAGAAATTTTTCCTATACTAACCCAGTTTCGATTTACCTTTTCAGTAATAGTTCAAAACCATAATATTTGTCTTCCTGTAATTTGCTCCTTTCATTTTTAGTGCTGCTGGGTTCTGTTTCATTTTTGCATCATTTTTGATGCTATTGACCACAATCTGTTTTATTATTGGAGCACCATTGCAAACAGTATGTGAAGCTGTTGATTCTGGTAAACTGTACTCTGAGGTTTGTACAAACACCTTTATTTTGTTACTATCAATTAGTAATTAAGTACTGTGGCCCACAAGGGTCACTACATAAAAAAAGGTCAACTGCATATTAAAGTACACCATATACAAACAAAACAAATTTGGCTGCAAATTAAAAATAATTATGTTGCTGCAAGTTGAAAAAAGATGTTGCTGCAAATAAAAAAAGATGTTGCTGCAAATAAAAAAGTGTCGCTGCAAATGGAAAATGTTGCTGCAAGCACAGGCTTACCATCTTAAATATCTGTGGTTTCGGGTTTCTATGGTTTTTGGGTTCCTGTGGCATTTACATAGCCGTTATCAATGTAGTTCAAATATATTGCCCCTAGAACCTGTCCCTAGTAGTC